TATTGTTGTCATATATTTTATATGTATATACATTATAAATACCACAATACACAATACAATGCTATAGTTTTGCTTTAAATTGTTTACTGTCTTCAAATAAATTTAGAGGAATAAAAAGATATTAATTATTTAATATATTTATTAAAGCATATTAATTATTTATAATCTTCATTTTTTCTTGTAAATCTGAGTTTACATCTGGTGTGATTTGCTTTCCACCTGAAGGACTTTGTAAACATTTCTGTAATGTAGGTCTGCTGGAAAACTATTTTCTTAGTTTTTATTGAAAATTTTTGTTCTCGTTCTACTTTCAATTTTGAAGGATAGTTTTGCTGCATACAGGATTCTGAGTTGACAGTTTTGTTTAATTTGTTTCTTTCTTTCACACTTTCTGTTCCTTGAACGCTGTAAGCCTATTTCCACCTCCAGCTCTCTGTGCTTGCTGTTTACTTTCCCTGGACAACTCTTTAACTAGTTCTTCAAATCATAGCTCAAATCTCATCTCTCTGGTTTAATATCACACTTCTTAGAGAACTCTGTTGACCATATATTTGACTAAAATTACCGTTCTTTTTTGTTTCTCTCTCATTATCCTGTTTATGTCCTTTGTGACACTTTTATAATCTTTAATTATATTTTCATTTATGTGTTTCTTTTTTTTTCTACCTGATGAGCTCCATTAAAAAAAAAAAAAGTTATTCTGTCTGTTTTATTCTTTCCTACAGTCATAGCATTCAGCAAAATACCTGGCATCATAACAAAGGTACAGTGATGTTTTCCTAATGTAGAATGGATACAACTGAAGTTGCGGGGACATTTGAAGTTTATCTTTGCTAGACTTGAAAAGGCACACCGAGTAGTCATATACTACTAAACTCTCCAGGACCATCTGTTTTACACACCGTGCTAGGAAACATAAATACAAAAGTGATGCATCTTTGAGAAGCTTTTCTGGACTGAATTAGAAACAATCTCCTCTTCTAGTTCCAATAACATTCTACTTCATCCTGACTGTGCTACTTTTTATGATCTAATGTACCTTACACTGTTGCTGTTGGTATACATATCTTCTCTCTCCACATGGACTGTCAGCTCCTTGCAGGCAGGGACTGTATTTCCTAACACAAATTGGAAATACTGCAGAAATAACTGTAGAGTCTGCAAAGGATTTAGGCTACGGTTAATATGGGATTGCACTGAAAATGAATTGACTAAGAAACTTAGCATTTTTGTTTAATAAGATCCTCTAGTTCTCTAAGGAAAAAAGTTGCTGTATAATTCCAAAGTAATTAGGATTTCAGCTGAGCATTCCTACGTTCCCACCAAGGACACTGTGTCATGTGTGGAGGAGGACTTCTCTGCCCCTTCTCTGCCTTTGTTCTTGTTTATATGTACTACCTTTCTAGTTTATACTCCCTGTAGTTTGCATTGCAATAAATTGCCAAATATTTCCTGCCCACATCTCTGTTTGGCTGCAGAGCATGAGAACTGTAATGGAAAGCAACAGATCAGAATATTTTTTAGATTTGTTGATAGTCTTAAAAATGCCCATTTTAAACATAAATATTTATGCCAGTTGCCAAGCTGAACCCCGCATTTGTTATGAAGAGACCTTTGATTAGTCTGTAGTCTGAAGAGGACCCGTATAAAAAGTAGTTACCATTTATTGTGACAAGATTGATAGAGCACTCTGGAGGTAGGAAGGCCCAAAGCTGGTTTTTATATTCTGATTCCATGCATAAAAGAGGAGAATGGCTCAGCCCCGAATACGGATTCAAAGAACTCATATTCTGGCTGTGATAACTTATAGCCTCTGGGTTTGGGGACTACAGTAATCTTTCTGAATCATGCACACCTGTGAAATGGTAAAGCGATGTAAGCACAGCTCTTCTTTATGGAATAACATTTTTTTAAAGACCTAGTATTGTTCTGCCAAATTCAAGTTACCAAGAGGTGTATGAGTCTATGGAGCACTACTTTTTAGAGTGTGTGACACTACTTTTTAAAGTGTGCGTGTATGTTGGGGGTTGGTGTTACAAGTCTGAAACTTCTTGTAGATTCCCAGGCCTTATTCAAAGCTTATAGAATCAGAATCTCCAGAAGCCATGCCAAGAATCTGTATTTTAGTAACTTCACTGGGGGATGCATTCATGCTTGGAACTTTGGGAGTAATTGCTTGAGAGAATAGAAAGCCAAAAATCGTCTGTCTTGTCTCTGAACTGTCGGTCTGTGCCTGGAAAATTCTGAGTCCCTTATATTGCTTCCCAAGATCCCAAAGATCTGTGGTTTCATTTTTTTTTCATAACTGAATTGACTCTTAATCAAACAATTAGGAAAGTCAGTCTCCAATTATGTGATTAAAACTAAAACAAGTTAGTCTTATACTGGCCAACCCAGTTTATCATATGACATGTCAAATAGGTTTCTCTGAAACATTCATTGAGTCATAACAATTTGACAGTCTACACGAAGTTCTGCTCATTATTACGTTGTCGACGCAAGAGTCATTCTGTTGACTTTGCAACATTCAGCGAGAGACTCATTGGCTGTAATCAGAAAGTAACCTTATTCCTATCCTCCACTGCCCTTTAAACCATCAGTGGGGTTAATTTTTTCCTACTTCTTGGTTTAAAACTGGTGTCTCATGAATTTTCACTCATTTTTAAGCAGTAAAGAGTTAGTTCTTTACTCTCATTCCCAGATACATAAAAGTTCTGTATCATTTACTGATATATCTAGGATAGAAAAGTATTTTTAAAATATCTTTAAACTTTATTAAAAATTAGTTTTTCCCC